TACAGATTGCACATAAGAGCACAGGAAAGTGGTTACAGTAAGTCAGACATAAAAATATATTCTTTTTACAAAATGTGCTGGAGCCAGTTTAACAGAGATATTTTTGCCTGGTCTGCAGTCTTTGTCCCATCTTAACTTTGCTCTTAAGTCAGTTGGATATAACTTAGATGCAGCCTCCAGGAGTGAGAGGGTTCAGGAGACAGACACCCTCTCTACATTTGTAATTAAGGCTGAACTGGTTAATCAAGAACCATACATCAGGACTTCCCTCAAGGACTTTATATGAGCATTACCATTTCTTCTCCACTCCCCTCATGTTTATAAGCCATTGTCGCATGTCATTAACTTTTAACCGCGCTCTGTTTGTGTTCTCTTCTCTTTCATCTCACGCCTCAAACTGGTTGCACCACACAACTGCTCCACCCTGATCCTGGTTATGATTTCTTCCTCCTCGCTGTTGTCAAGTGCCTGCTCATATGGGAACCTTGGACTCACTCAAATATTGTGGGTTCTTCAAAACAGAAAACACAGTGAGTTGATGGTTGCATCCTGAGCTTGACTTGTGTGTTGTATTTAAAGTAATCATCCTTTGTATCTTCCATTTTTTCCAGAAGAGAAAACGCTTTCTGCAGTTAGCTGTGCAGTTTGAGATGGCCCCTAAGCTTTATACATGAGCCTGACTTTAATTTACACTGTATCATTTAGGCACATTTAAACAACAGTGAAAGCTTGTCTGTAAAACTGGCCCCAGGTTACATGTGTTACTGTGTGTTATGGTAGTGTTTTGCAAAGTTCAGTTCAAACAAGTATGAGCAAACTTACAAAGGTGTGTAACAAATAATGACTCCACATTGCTCCATTCATCCCTGCCTGCATGACTCATTCACCTCAAAATGAGACGTCAACGGGAGGCAGTGACTTCTCTCAGGTTTATTTTGCTTCCCTTTGCTAAGTCAGGAACTTTGGCTGTGGTTCCCCCTTGGATAAGTCTAAACATGTCATCTGGATCTGACATTACATCGCTGTCACAAAGCCGATAAACATCAGAATAATGATGGTCATTCGTTTTTTTCTTGTGCACCATAATCTAAAAAAATAACATGCTGTGTTTTTAACGTGGTTAGCTGTTTGTGGTTAGGAAATAGCACAGTTTTTATCTTTGTCCTTTGCACCCAGGCTGTGAGCTCTTCTCCGCCTTATGCTGCCCCTCAGGCCAAAGTCCCTCTGCCCCTCCTTCCCCTCCTCTCCGCCTACGTCTTTGCCCTCCTCGGGTGGCTGCTTTCGAAGTTGCGGGGGTAGAGGAATGGGCTGTCCCAGGAAGTAGCCCTCTTCCTCTGAATCTGAGGATGAAGAGCAGGTAGAACAGCAGTCTTCGTGTTTGTACTGTCCCGGATGGAGAGTCAGAGAGGAGCCATTGGAGCTGCCTCGGCTGTCTCTGTCTTTCTCGCCTCTCCAGTCCAGGGAGTCCAACCTGGGCCTGTCGGATCGCGAGCGTCGAGATCGCCTCTCTGACCCCTGGTGTAGAGCAGGGTCTGAAGGGATGCGGGAACGACCCCAACCTCGCCTTAAATGGCGTTGCTGATACGAGGATCCATCTGGAATAAAAAGAATGAGTAACTATGAGAAACACACGCAAAAGAAAACTTCATTTGAATGAGTTAATATTCAAAGTGCCTGAAGACATACCCAGCAGATCCATGTGTGGGGGGACACCTTTCTGCAGATGTAACCTGCTTCCGAAACCTCCCTCCCCCTCATCTTCATCCTCCTGGTTTTCCTCACCCTCTTGCAGCCCCTCCTTATTCTCATCTTCATCCTCATCCTCGTCCATAGAGTAGCTGCTGCTGATTGGCTCTCTGAAGCTGACTCTGGCTGTGTTGCTGCGAGTCAGCGGGGGTGGAGAGTCACAGGATCTGTCCTCTGGTTGCTGGAGTTTTGGTGAAGGTGAATCCCGGGGCAACAAGTCACGAGACTTCATGGGCAGGGGAGGTGGGAGGACCGAGGGGTTGTCCAGAGGAAGAGGAGGCGAGTCAGGTGAAATGAGTTTGTTCACATGAGAGTTCTTTTGAGGAGGATTTGCTGAAGAGAAAAATAGAAGACATATTGTAGTTAAGAGACAATGAAAAAAAGGTTATAAGAAGCATATAATAGTCATTCCAGTATCAGTGGTTTCTGATACCTTGCATAACTTTATTTGTCTTTTCCACCCAAGTCCTACAGTCAATTTCAGTAGAGGTTCCTCTTGAATTAAGACCACTTAGTCCAGTACTTCCATTTAGCTCTCCTTCGGGCTGGGGACTACTGCCTGGAAGTTTGATAGCACAGTTCCCTGGAAGTAAACTGTAATGTGGAATGTCACTGGGCCAAGAAGGACCTAAGCCATTCCCTAAATGAATGTGTGGAAGAGGTGAGTACGAGCCTCTTTGACGAGGATGATGACTGGGTGAAGGAACTCCATTCTGAACTGGAGCCGTGCAGTGGACACCTGAGAGAAGCAGAGAAAATAAATGTGTTACAATAAGCACAAAAACATGTGGTTACAGTAAGTCAGACATAATGAACTCACTGCACAACAGCTCCACCGTTATTCACCTCTGGTTTCCACTGCAGTATGAATGCAGTCTTTTGCAGGCGCTATAATGGGGTTGATGCCCTCTAGTGGCTGCAGTGGAGAACCACACTGTAGCTTGTGGTGTTTCTCTGCTGTCCCATACCGTCTGTTATGGTGAGGCGATCTGCTCTGCAGAGCAGAGTCGCAGGAATCCGAGTTATTGGGGTCTTCTCCCAGAGAGCAGGACCTGGAACAGAAAATAAGGCCCCTGCGAGGGAGGAAGGGACGCCCCAGGAGAGGTAGCTGACAGCGGGCGCAGCAGAAACACGAGTCCACAGCGTGCCAGTGCTGACCGTCGTATGTCATCTGACCCTGGTCGATACCTGAGGAAATATTTGTGTGTCAGCTGTGGAACTTTAAAATCAATCTTTATTACCTCGGAGCACATTTAAAAGCAATGCATAACACGTTATACTATCGGTCAGTAGTTACTTTTTAGAACTCGTGTGATGTGCCCTTAGAGAACGAATATGGTGTATTACAGGCTTCTTTGTAAGAATATACCATCATCAGAATATCTGCTTACGGGATACATGTAAAAGTTTGCTTAAAGTATCACGACGTGTCTTTGCTTCATCACAGCTAACACCTTTCTCACTCAGCACTACATCCTACATGAAAAAGACAAAGGGTCTCTTTAGCATACAGGAGATCACATTACAATGATGCAGAGCTGTTATTAAAATGATTCACAATTTAAAAAAGGCAGACATCATCTTCATCCTCTCAGGCAAGTATTGCAAACTAATCCAGATCCAGATTTTTTAATTAATTCATGCATGCTGATTTTTCAATTTTCAATTTGGTGGAGGAGTGCAGTCTCTAGCTGCTCTTCTTGATATATTAGTAAATTATTATAAGTCCTTCTGTAGGCTCTGATGATGAATAACAACATGCTAAAACTATGCAATATTATAAAATAGTGACGTCAAAAAGATGGAATAATTAAAGACACATAAACACTTACATTGCTGGTATATACAAATTAGGCTGGTAATGTGAAAACATGGCTTCACTAAAAACTTAATTCATTAAACTTAGCTCAGTACCTATGTGTTCTCCACAGGTATCA